TCATCAGGGAAATGCAAATCAAAACCACAACGAGATGTCACCTCACACCTGTCAGAATGGCCGTTATAAAGACAAGAACCAGAACCTAACACAATATGTAAATCAACTATACTTCAGTTTTTAAAAATAAATACAAATTAACTATAGAAGCAAGGAAACAAAAGACAATAAAAAGCAAGAGTTGGCAAGGCTGCGCACTGTTGGTAGGAATGTAAAGGATACAGCCACTATGGAAAACAACATACAAGTTCCTCAAAAAATTAAAAATGGACTACCATACGATCCAGTAAATCCACTTCCGGGTATTATTCTGAAGAGAACAAAAACACTAATTCAAAACGATATATGCACACCTAAGTTCATTGCAGCATCATTTACAATAGCCAGCCTAAGTGCCCACTGATGTATGAATGGATAAGGATGTGGTGCGTGTACAGATGCGTGCGCGCGCACGCGCACACACTCACACACACACACACAGAGCACAGTACTACTCAGCCGTAAAAGGGATGAACCCCATTTGGTACAGCATGGATGGACCTAGAGAGTGTTATGCTGAGAAATAAAGCAAAGACAGACAGAGACCATGTGATCTCACTTATATGTGGAACCTAAAGAACCAAACAAATGAACAAACATAACAAAACAGAAACAAGACCCACAGGCACAGAGAACAAAGGGTGGTTGCCTGAGGGGAGAGGGGTGGGGAGGTGAGAAGGAAACAACGGCAACCCCGCAACTAACCAGCTTGCTTGTGGCGCTCATTTCACAATGTGCATTTATATGAAACATCACACTGCACACCCTGAAGTGCAACTTCTGATAATTATACCTAGTAAAGCTGATTTTTTAATTACATAAAACATTACACAAAATTTGAAACAATTTAAACTATGAAAAAGGTGATCTTCATAAATTTTCATAAAGCATAAAAATCTATACATACAGGCTTTCCTTTTCTTTTCCTTTGTTTTGTTTTTTCTGTTTTGTCTTGGGGGGAGGTGACGAGGGTTCTTCACTTAATGAAGTTGCTGGGGACTGAACCCACGCCCCAGGCGCTCGGCATGCTCTCTACCACTGAGCTACACCCTCAGCTCCCAGGCTTTGTTTTTCAGTTTTTTTATTGTGTGGTCATACATCTAACAGAACACTTACCGTCCTAACCGTTTGTAAGTGCATAGGCTCAGCATACTGAATACACTCACGATGCTGTGCTACCATCCCCACTGTCCATCTCCCGAACACTTTTCTTCCCGTAAAACTGAACCTGCACCCATTGAACTCTCCACAGCCCCTCTCTGCAGCCCTGGCTGCCACCGTCTGCCTTCTGCCTCTAATTTCAATGACTCTAAGTACCTCATACACGGGGGGGTCATACAGCATTTGTCTTTCTGGGACTGGCTTATGTCACTGACAGACAGACTTGTAACAACTCTCAAGTGATGCTCGAAATCAAAGCGGGTTTTCCTTTTAGAAGTGAGGCTCTGCGCCAGCACTGACCAGCACCTGCACTGAGCAAAGTGACAGCTAGAGCATCCGCGGCATTAAAACAAGGCAAACACAGACTGGGAAGTTAACTTAAAGTCAGTCTTATTTCTTTCAAAAAAATTCTCTCTCCCTTCTGGCTTCCTGGAAGGCATCTCAGGGAAGTGGGAGGTAAGCTTTGGAGCCAAGCACTCCAGCTCATCACACACACGTGACCTTGGTCAAGGCACATAATCTTTTGGAGCCTCTCCTCTTATGTAAATAGGAAAATAACACCTACCACTGAGGCAAGGGTAAGGAGATAAGCAAGTTAAGCTCCACACACCAAACGTGCTCAGCAGAGAGTGGCCCCCACTCACCATCCCTGTGACTCTCTAAGATGATCCTTCCCCAAACCCAGCCTTGTCTCTGAGAACAGAACCAGCTCACAGGCTCCTCATCAGTCATGCTCACCCAGAATCTGCTTAAGAGTCTGGACCAGGACAACCCTCTGACAGCTTAGATAACCTAAGCGGTAATAAAGCAGGGCTGTTGTAACACCCACCAGGAGAGCTCCTACGGTTACTCTCACTCTTCAACCGCTGCAAGAGAGGATGGCTTAGTATCAACTGATCAAAAATACATGTTTTGCTTGAACACATGTCCAACAGAGTTTAATTTATATTCAAAAATACAGAAGGAAAGTTAGTTTTTTAACTGAAAGGCACATTTCACAATAAATTCATCTGGGAAGTTTTACCAGGAAGCTACAACCCTGAACACCA